AGTTTCGGTGATGCGTATTAATAGTTTGGCCGTAGGTGTGTAGATGACTCCTTGGTAGTACCACCAAAATCACAACAAAACCTTCCAGGCCTTCAAACCTGATTTGGGTACAGTTTGTGCCGACTCACTGCCTTTCCATCACAACTGCTTTGGTTTGACATTGCTTTAGGTGATGCACCTTTAATCACCAGCGATTTGTAGTTCGAAGTTCGGCCATTGAAGTTTTTTTCTCGTTAACTTGTCTGGCATCCATAATCGAGCTCCTTTGTGTATACTCTTCTTCTTCTTTACTGACGCTGATACCGCTTACTTACCGTCCTTCTCTAGCTGGTCTCTCAACGAAGTGTGGGTCTTCCTCTTTCTCTGGAACATTCGTATCCATCCGGACCACATGACCTAGCCGCTGTTTCTTGATTCGATGAACTATGTTAATGTCGCCGTATATCTCGTCTTCATAGTTCCATCGTCTGCGGTATTCGCCGTTTCCAACTCACAAATCATCATAAATCTTCCTCGAAAACTCCTAACTCCGACTTATTCGATGGATTTATCGTTTAAGCTTCCGCACCACACAGCAGGACGGGACCGATGAGGACTTGCAGAGTGTGGTTTTCGTTTGTCCGGAGAGGATTTTACTTTTCAATTGCCTACTCAGTCTAAAGTAACCTCTTTTGGCAAGAGTGATTCTGTGTTGAATTTCCAGGATGAAATTGTTGTTGGTTTTATCTACCTTATCTAAAACTTCAAAGTTATGACTATCAACACTAAGGTGGGAGCCGAGTCGCGAATGCGATTACTGTTTGTGTGAAGGCAGGAGATAATTTTTCTTGCCGCATTCACCACCAGACTCTTCTCCTTCGCTGAAACCTCAATTGGTATCAAACGGCTCGGAGAGATCCTTCCTGATGCTGACGGAGCTTTTGATGTTACTTAAGTTTGTTGACGGTGGGCTTCAGTCTTTCACACAAAATCCTCGACAGAACCTTATATGCCATATTAAGAAGGTTCAACCCAGGGTAATTGGTGCAGACTGTGGTATCGCCTTTTTTTGTGGATTGGTCAGAGCACACTTAGCTTCCGACCGTCGGACAAGTTTTCATCCGACCATATTTTGCAAGAAGCTGATGCATGCACCTGATCAGTTCTTCACTGCTTCAGTTCGGCCGTTAGGCCAGTCGTCCTCACTGCTTTGTTGTCTTTCAAGCAGGCGATTGCTATTCGAACTTCTTCATAGTCGATAGTCGGGTGAGGAAAGTCTTTTCTATTGTCTTCAATTGGGATTTGGGGTTCATTATCTCAGGTTGGAAAAGTGTTCCCTCCATCAATTCAATGTACTCTGGGCAACCGGCTTTTTGTATCCAACCTGTTTTAAAAGGAGCGAGTAAAAATAATGGACTACTTTTTACTAGTCCAATATATTGTGTGTATAGTCATTTATATAGATATATATATGTATATGAATGCGTCGGCGGTAAATCAACTGGCGGCAGTCTTTTATGCAGCTTGGCATTGTGTCTTTAACGCCTTTGGCCGTAAAATGATAAATGAATTTCGGTTCCTAGAATCGATAAGCGTCTATGTCAACTATAGATAAATTAAGGCAAATAACAGTTTACGCGTATATACATACATACATACATACATTTACATACAAAGTACATATGGTGTGAGCAAATAGAATGGAAAATGAGAAAAAGAGGCGATAACCCATATAAAATTTTTGATACTTAAAATCTATAATTAATGGAAATTCGTGAATATTTTGTTTTCTTTATTTTAAATTATTTTAAATTTCAAACAAAATTTTCTAAATTAATGTTAAAGTTGAAAATATCTATTTGAGTGTTCAAAAAAAAAAAAAACTTAGGTTATGTTAACTTAGGTAGAAGTAGCTGTTACGAAGAGCATTTCACAGAGTCATGAAAGGCACCTTCGTTGTAATGGCGCCAATATCAACACTGCCAGTGTATGCGAGAGACTCGTTCTTGGCATGGAAAAGACTGGACCTGAATTTCCTCATTTCCTCTTGGTTCCATCGGGCATGACTAAGCCTTAGCTCGCAAAAGCCAACTGGATAACTCAGTAATTGTGGCCTGCCCACAGAAAACATCCTCCGAAATAGTGTGTCTCTTACTTCACATTTTTCTTTGGAAGCCTGAATCACTCGCTGAAGGATAATTCTAAGTTTCTCGCGCCGATATTTCCGTCAAACCGGATGAGCTTTGCGATTCTCCTGAAGCCTACATCTCTGGTTGTTCGTAATATATCTCAGCTGAAAGCCAGGCTGTGAACAATTTCCGATTGCTCAGCTAATATAACCATTCCTAGCAACTTTCAGCATACAAAAACTCTTAAAAAAGAAAGGATTAGAACAAATTCTCTAGTGACTTCCTTACAGCAGCATAAAGCTACCGAAGCTTTTTTTCTTTTTCCTCTTAATGTTCGCCCTTCAGCGCAATTTCCTCTCGGTCAAAGTTTCCAAGTATTTCACTTTCTCGAACCAATGAAGGTGCACACCCTTTGAAAACATTATATGCAGGTAAATTATTATAATTGAAATCGAAATTCAGCAGCCCAACTTGGCCAGGCAGACATAGACCTTTATTAATATTTTCAATCCAGTGCCGTCTATTGTTTTTCAAATATTCAATAGATTTTTAGTTGATTAGATAATAGAAAAAAAAAATGTATTCCTTATCAGTCTACTTTTGCTATGCGATATCTACATGTACTTATGTACATATGTACTCACTCACCTAAAAATTCGCAATAAATTTGTTATTTCTATCGATCACTCAAATCACTCATACGTCAAGTGGGCTGGGTGACTAAGAAACTGCTTATGATTAAACTATATATAAATATATATATATATATTCTTATTACAAATATTTATGTGCCTAACCGTAATAGTAGAGAATTTATAGATAATAATGTAAAAACAATTAGTTTGTCCGATTAAAAGCGTTATTTTATTACTGAATTTATCACTGTTGTTGTTATTGAATGACTCAATATGATGTTACCTTCAGTGTTATATGTATATGTCTACGTAAACGAGTAAATATAGGTATAGCTGATACCGTACACATGTTAGCACAGCTGATCCGAAGTAAATTGACATTTCTGTCTATATGAACTCAATATATATAAGTATTTTAGTTTATATGCATGTTATATTTGTATATATATATATGCATTAAAATGCTCCATTACAAGTAGTTCACGCGTACCCAAACACTCGTACATCAACACTTATTAATGTTGTAAAAATTGTATATATATATTTGCATGTATGTTTGTAATATTTCTATTCACAGAGTGACAAAAATAGCATATACTTGCTTATCGCTTAAGCACAAAGCGTGAAATTACTGTATCTGTGAGTAAATTAATGATTACTAAAAAAAAAAAATTAAAAATAAAATAAAATAAAATAAAATAAAATAAAATAAAATAAAATAAATAAAATAATTTAAAACAAAAAAAAATAATACGAAATAAGGAAGAAATATATAATAAATTTAAATGGAATAAAATTAAATAATATAAAAATATAAACTAAAATAATATAAAATAATAAATTACACAAAGGTACTATATTGCCAATATACATGAATATTAATAAAACTGCAAGATAGTATCAAAATTTTATGAGAGTCGCATTTGTTAAAATTATTTTACAATTTTTGTTCAAATCTTTGTAGTCTTAAACCTCATGAATGCAGTCTGGAAAATACATATTAATTTCCCAACGCAAAATATTGTTGTTTTCTCCTTTTATCACTTATTCAAGAATTATTTGTTTAGTTTTTAATTTTTTTTTTTATAATTCAGATATAATAAAAATGTGATATGTGCTTACACAAATTAAATAAATATTATAAATAATTACAGAAAAAATTGTATTGTGTATGTATGTATGTATGTATATATACATACTAGATAATAATGGTGCTTGTTGGCACATAGCGTTGCGTTCCGTTATCAGTGACGAGTTGGTGGCAAATAGCTTTGTTGTATGGCGTGGCTGACTCATTGCCTTGACAACTGATATAAAATTATCTTTGGAAAAAGTGTGTCTGCATATATATGTATACACACGATTATAAGCGCCATTACCTCCTAACGAACACACGAAGCAATCGCCGTTTTAAACTGTATTTTACAAATAATAAGAAATATTCTTCTCTAAAATAAAAACTATTCTTTTCTATAATTTAATTTAAATTTATTTAAATAATTATTTCACTATCAATTTAATTTTTTTATGTTTTACTTTATTTAACATTGGTTTGTTTAATTAAATTTTTTTATATTATTTATTTTTTTAATTTAATTTTATTTTATAGCATTTCATTTAATTAAATTTTTTATTTTTTATATTTTATTTTTTAATTTTATTTTGTTTCAATTTATTTTATTTATTGTAATTTCTTTTATTTCATTTGATTTTATTTTAATTTATTTTATTTAATTTAATTTTTTATTTTATATATTTTATTTTTTAATTTTATTTTGTGTTAATTTTTTTTTATTTTTTGTAATTTATTTTATTTCATTTGATTTTTTGTTAATTTATATTTTTTATATTATTTTATTTAATTTTTTATTTTATATATTTTATTTTTTAATTTTATTTTGTGTTAGTTTATTTTATTTCATTTGATTTTATTTTAATTTATATTATTTTATTTTATTTTATTTAATTTTTTATTTTATATATTTTATTTTTTAATTTTATTTTGTGTTAATTTCTTTTATTTATTGTAATTTATTTAATTTCATTTGATTTTATTTTAATTTATATTATTTCATTTTATTTTATTTTGATTATATTTCCTTATTTTATTGTCTTTTATTTGATAAAAAGTCTTATTTAATTTAATTTAATTTAATTTAATTTCAATTTATTTTTACTTAGTGTAAGTCAAATAAAAAAGTTGTTTTAAAAAATTTTGAAAGAAAAAGTAATTATTTTTTTCTTAATTTATTTTCAGAAATTTTCGTTCAACACCCCGTCCGAAGACTGAAATTATTAGCACGAGAAATCATGCGAATGCGCAGAAAAGTAAATCGCTCTATCAGCCAAGGTAATTAGAAAAAATAAATATTATTTGTTACAAAAAATTAAATTGTTAAAACGAAGTATTCGATTCGTTGGAAATTATTTGGAACATTGCGTATCCGTCATTAAAAGCAGAAAAATTTAATTTTAATAAATTTGATAATAAAGAAATAATGATTGCATTACGAGCAAAAATATTTTAAATATTTATTTTAAATATGTATTATGATTTCTACTAAACTGAATTCGCAGAATTTAGAAAAAGAAAATGGAAAGAAGTTTTTAATCACGCGTACATACACTTATTATTATGCATAACATTTTGCGATAAATTTTAGGAATTTGTAAAATTTTAGCATTTATTTGATTTCTCATTAGGGAGGATCAAGAAGAGGAAACTGAGGCTGAACTACGCGATAAGAGTTCACAGCATATAAAACCGATACTCGAAGAACTCATAAAGACGGAAGAAACATATGTGGAGAACTTGCGTATCGGCTTAGAGAATTACGGTAATATATTTGCGCGTAAAGATTTACCAATCGGACTGCGTGGCAAGAAGTACGTGCTACTCGGCAATGTTGGGCAGATCTATGAATTCCATGCGGAGGAGTTTCTACCAATGTTGCACGCAAACCAAAGAGATCTGAAACGACTTTTCGATGAGTTTCAGCATTATATTGAAGTAAGAGATTTTATTTATTTATTATTTTAATTTTTTATTTTTATTATTTTTGTTTAATATTACAGCAAAATTTCTTCTACTGCTATGTCATATTCACAATGAACAAGCAACGTTCGCTCAAATTATGTGATACTTATAAAAACTATTTTAAGGTAAGCCCAAAAATTTTGAATTAATTCCATTATTCACTTTAATAAAAAAAAAATATTATAATCGTTTTTTCAGCGTATACAAAATGAACTAGACGATAAGTTGGGGATTAACAGTTTCCTGGTACAGCCAATACAGCGGATGGCGCGATATCCGCTGCTGCTGCAACAATTTATATCGGTAAGTTAGAGAGAAAGAGGGAGATAATATAAAATAAAATAAAATAAAATAAAATAAAATAAAATAAAATAAAATAAAATAAAATAAAATAAAATAAAATAAAATAAAATAAAATAAAATAAAATAAAATAAAATAAAATAAAATAAAATAAAATAAAATAAAATAAAATAAAATAAAATAAAAAAAAAAAAAATGAAATGAAATGAAATGAAATGAAATGAAATAAAATAAAGAGAAATAGGTTAAAAAAAACTTATAAAAAAATAAAATAAAATTAAGTAAATAAAATTATTTTAATTATTATTTTAATATCACTTAAATGTATATCTGGCAGATCGCACATACAATTTTCTTCTTTCTTTCATCCAGACTCTCTTTAAACACCGCGACTTCCAGATAAAGCCACTGCTTGAGTCATGCTGTCGGCTTGAAAAGAAAATGCGCACATTACTCACAACAACAAATGAATCCGAAGTGATTAACGACATTGTCGAATGTAATGAGGTTGGGATACTGAACGATTTAGTTGTTGCTACAAATAAAACTAATTTTTTTCTCTCTCCTTTCTCTAGTTCAACGTCTTCCATCAGGGTAAATTCCGCAAGGTCAGCGACTTTACGATAACGGATCACACACTCCGGCGCTCCTACCGCGGCAAAGTATTCATCTTCGATAAATGTATTATCTATACAGAGATCAAGGGTAAACACCTGATCTTCCACGGACGTTATCCATGCGAGCACATTGGTATTGTAGCGAAGACAAAACATTTTACACTCTTCTATGAACGACGTAAACAACAAGAGTGCGACTTCCAAGCTGAAGCGCCCGTGATTGAGGCGTGGTTGGAGTTGATACGTGAAATGATCAGTTCGTTTGTAACGGAAGAGCGTCAAAAATTACAAGATCGTTATGCACGCGAAGGTGAGCAGCAGTATCGGAAGCCGGTAAGCTTGACGCTGTTTCGCGATTCGAATCGTTTCAGTTCGGACAGTGGTATTGGAAATATATGGGTGTTGCCCAAACCGGAAGCTGAGTCTGAGGCAACGAATAATCGTACAACGTGGTATGCTGTAAACTGAGGGGGGAACGAGTGGCAGGAAGGAAATAATGCATAGAAGGAAACATTATTGTATTATTGACAATCGGTTACAATATTGTGCTGAATACTTGCGCAATGTAATGTTAGGAAGACTTCTCAGGAGTCTTCAAGTTGTCACAGCCATATTTAATTTAACTTAAGGCCTTTTAAATTCCTTATTTGTTCAATATGGACAATGTGATGGGCCTAGAAAAATATTTCAAATAGTTTATAAAACTAAGAATGGAAATATTTGCTCAAGTGTAAATTAAACAAAAATATTTTTTCTTAATTTACGTATATAATTAAGTATATTGCTAGAAAAAGTCCAAAAAAAAATTCACTTTGTGAATAGTTAAGTTATGATTTACTAAAAAAAGCCAAAAACAATTTAAATTTTTAGGTATTCTATAAATCTATTTTACTTTTAATATAAAAATATATTTTTTATATTATATTAAGTAATAGTCACAAGAAATGTTAAACAACTTTTATAAAAACAAATTTATATACAGATATGAGGATATTCAGATCTATGTAACCAAATATTAGTTCATAAGCTCAAGTAAGAAGAATCTAAAAGCTGAAAAAAATTGTTTTAAATATAAAAAAAATTAAATATTTAATGAAAATTTATTTAGCAAACAATAATTTATTACAAACTTCCAAAATTAAAAAGAAAAAAATATACAATTATAAGGTGACATAGTTTTTATCCTTTGAAAAAGAAAAGATTTTGGAAATATTTTAAAAAATAGTTAAACTTTTTTGTCAAAATATTGTTATTATTTATCTATGTATAAACTCTTAACACAACCATAAATATATATAATTGTATTATAAATAATATACGCATATACATATTTCGTAAAATGCACTAAAATCAAATAAATTTGAACTTGATATTTAAGAAAAAGGCATAACAGTTTTTTTTTACAAAAAAAAATTTGATACAGAAAAATTAAAAACTGGATTTTACTAATTTTTTAATTTCATAATTGCGCCAAAGCTATTGCCCTTACTCAAGCCTCGTTGCAAAAATGTTAAGGATAATTTGAGGTTATGCAGTTGGTATGTCCGTACATTATTCCTGTATATATGCAGCATCAAGACCAATAACTCAGTCAGTCGGTTAGTTAGTCTGGACATCCAACGAAAATCACTCTCGCAAAAGGAACAAAACAAAAACTAAACTCTACAAGAAAATGATATGATGAGCAGTGTAAGATACACACCGATATTGACATAGCAAAGCGAATTAAGAGATAGCAGTTATGCCAGGTCGATCATGTTATATGGATAGATGAAAACCTCACAGCCATTAAAGTCTTCGAAATAATACCTGACGTTGGAAAAGAGGAAGACGTCCTCTCCGTTGGAAAGTTGAGGTGGTAACTGGACACGCTAAATAACTGCAGTTAGCGGCGAACGACGAGAAGAAGGAACAACTGAATCACTGTTTAATAGAATTTAGAGATCACCACATCTCTAGGCAGTAATCAAACCCAAGTCAATACTCCATATGGACTTTAGCGCTTTTAATCTCCCAACTGTTTAGTAATAAGCTCGCTATCCAATGTTCCAGAAATAATATTTACTGCTTACAAAAAGTCTAATGAACACATAATAAATCTGTTTGGCATTTTGATGATCGAATGAGGAAGGTCACAAGCTGTGCAGTCAGTCTAGCGTAAGCAAATAACTGAACATTTCGCAAGCAGCCACGTGCTCTTCCCACTTCCACTCACACCGGCTGCCAAGTAGCATCCGTCTCTTACAGCAAACGACAACAACTTGTTCGCACTGGCGTTGCCTGCTGCGTTCGTGTCGCGATCACTAGTTGCAAGATCCGCCAATTGCAGGCGACTGCTGGTAGACGCGTGACATCACTGCAATAAATTTAGCGGGAAATAATTGGTAGCTTGCACACATTTATTTACATATGCAAATGTTTGAGAATATAAATAAAAATACTAATAAAAATATTGAGATTTATTTTTGGTAGATCAGTGTAGATCGCCACTTGTATAAAGTTGACATTCAAAAAAAATGTAACCCATAAAAATCAAACGACAATAATTCAGTTCCCAGAATTTCGGAGCAAAAATTTGTCGCCTCAATTTGTTTTTTTTTTTTTAATTCACATTCGTAATTTTATGTTTTCTTTGCCTTGCGCCGCCGGTCACTATGAGCAGTGTTTGTAGTTTGTTGTTATTTTCGGCACTCCCCTCTTCGATTTGCGCTAATTTGCATAGGAGTGTCGACACTTGATGGCGGCGGCGGCGGCGTTAATATGTTGGAAGTGTGAGTTTTCTTCCTTTTGTTGTAATTCTCTTTAAATTTCTACTGTCACTGAGATCATTTTGATTTTTGGAAGTCTCGCTGCCTGAATTGAATCCAAGGATTGCTCCTAAAAATAAAACGAAGCTTTGGAAATCTAAAATTAATTTTTTGTGAATGAGTATTTTAGAACCCTATAGAGATGTTAGATGGAAAGTGGAAGTTATTGCGGATCTATGGGTTGCAACAAGAATCTCCTGTTATTGAAGAAAAATTTGAATCTGAGGTCGATTACGCTCCAACTTTCCAAAACCGTGAGATTTTTTCTTCTTTCGAAACCGTGAAAAAGTGATCTGTACATATGAATGAAAATATTTGGTCCTTGGTAGAAATAATATATTTTTCGGTTATCTCGGCGGGGTCCAGCGAATGATATCAAGCGGTCCCAACCATTTTCAGGAATCTCATGATCATTTTTGCTTCTCTTGAATGAGTTCTGCCTTATATTTGATTAAGTGGTAAGGAATATTAGTACAAGAAGTTCTTTTTGGTATTCTTAACTAAATTTAACCAGGGCTCTGGATATTAGGTGGATAAATAACAGGATTAATATACGCCGAATTGACGAGCGCGTGGCTTATATTTAGAACAGGGAGCCTGATTTCGTTATTTCATGTGCACTCGTTAGTAATGTGAAGTTGCTACTGTTGAACCGGCGAATGTAAATCCCAAACGTAATTCTAAAATCTAACGACCAACTCAAAATAGAGGTATAAAGGGTTGCAATCCTGCCACTGAGCTAGAAACGTAAGACTTTTCATCTTGTTTCGGCTGTCGACTCATACCCTGGAAACGTGAAAAACTCTTGTATGAGCTATGGAAATCAACCCGTGTGAGAACTTGGGTCACGGCTAAAAGAGAGCTAGCTTTAGTGGAGAAACTAACCAAACACTAAACTCTTACTGCTTCCTTTCTTCGGAAGAGACTTTTAGATATGGTGGGTCAAAACTTGGCTAACAATAACGAAGTACCTTCTCATTTTACCTCGTCTCCCATTGGATATTCTTAGGTTGCTCTGAGGATATTTGGTTTAAAACCGTAAGCTGCTTGAACCTTTTGCTATCCGGACGGAGCTTTGAAAGTATTCGATAACTCAACCGCTGGAGGAGGCAAAGAAATAAAAACACTTCCATTCGGTTGAAAAGATCAAGAAAATACTGGTCTGCTATTATTGATACGACTCTACGCTATTTGCTGTCACCAGCTGGTCTAAGACTAGAATAAATTAGCTTTTTATCTATTTATATAGAATTTTGAATAAATGGCTCATCTTATAGCAATTTTGAGCTCTGAGTTTAAGTTTTCCCTCCTTAAAACCAGCTCCAATGAAATTTTTCAATGAAGCCACGTCTAACAAACTCCACTTCTGATGACGGACACTGTGTCCTCGTGTTCTTACTTCTGACTATATGTTTTAATAGGATGCAATAGAGTAGTCTTTATCACTAAAACCCAATAGAATAAGACTGTCTTAAGGAAGCGGAAGACTTCAAAGTTTAGCATTGTATCGGCACTACTCTCTTAAATTGTGAGCTTCACTGGACAAGAGTTTTAAAGTCTGGAGTGTGCATTGTGTGATGTGTAGCTCAAATATATTTGGGTCCAAACAGTAAATCATAACGAAGGAATTGTCGAAATCTATAGGATGAAGCCTATAATATCATCCCCCTCGCAGGGAAGAGTTATTTGGTAGAAGAAATAGGAATTTGGACTTTTTTTTAAGCCCCGGATATTTATACCGCTTCGTAAGAGCATTTAGCACTCGAGCAATCGACGGTCTTAAAAGCATTGCCCAGCTACGGAGATATTAATTTTGAACACTAAATTTATGAAACTCTCCCACAGTGCAATGAGGTATTAAAAAATAATATTTTATATCTTAAATGTTGTCAGCAACGAATCAGCAATCGAAATCTCATTAAACTAATCGGATTTGGCTGCGGCACGTTGATTGATAAAATTTGTTTATAAACAATTGAACAGTAAATAATAAACATTTGGCTCAATGAAACAGCTGTTAAAAAAGTTGCTATAATAGTGATTACAGAGAACATTTTGTGTGAGAGTCAGACAGCGTGAGAGTCAAAGTAAAAGAAGCAAAAGAGAAATAATCATAAAGTTATAAAAGTAACAGCTGAGAGCTTTTTAAGCGTGCGCGGTTCAACTTGGTATTTGTTATTACAGTGACGTCATCGCAGTTGCTGCGCATGAGTTCGTGGTCTGTGATCTCGCTTATCACATGGTGAGACCGTGCCTTTCAGTACGCTCTGAGCAAACTTTTATTGCCATTTTTCCACTCTCTGCTTACTATGGAAAGCTCAGTGTGTGCAATCAAATTTGCCTGCGTAACATTTTTTTTTAGCTTTTTTTTTATGGCAAAAATGTCTTGAAAATAAAAATTTATAGCAAAACAAGTGTCAGTTGAGTTTGCGATCTTGTGACGAACGGCATTGATGTAGTCGCGTACGCGATGTGATCTTTGTGGATTTAATATTGGCAATATTAATATTTAATATAAATAATTAATTTCTTGAAAGAAGTAAAAAAATGTATAAGTAATTAAGTGAAGAGCAGTGTTTAAGTGATGAGAAAAAATTAAAAATTTAATATTACACATTTCCAACAAAAAAAAATATTTTAAAGAGATCTTAATATCATATATATAAATCACATTGCAAAAATTCAAGAAAAAATAATAACAACAATAAAATTTAAATAAAAATATAATAAAATAATCATAATAAAAGAAAACAAAAATATATAAATAAATAAAATAAAATAAAAATTTTATAAAAATCGAATTAAAGCTACTATTTCCGATCAAGCCTTCGTTTCCGCGCCTCGAAAATGTTTTACGGTTTAATACAGTTATCGTGGTTTGACGCCACCACCGCCGCTTTACCTTTTATCACCGTCGCTTTATTGCAATTGTTGAATGCGTTTTTAATAGATCGTCCAACGCGTAAAGTGCAGAAGGCGAGTGAGCTAACAACCGTCGCGAGTTTGTTAGCTGAAGATGACACAACAAAAACAACAGCAGCAACCACAACAAATGGCAAAGCGTCAGCAGCAAATGGAGCGGAAAATGGAAAAGTGCAAAAGCAAAAGAGTGAACATTGTGAAGAGTAGGTGTCAAATTAATAATAAAAAAGGCAATAAAAATATAATAATAAAAAAATTAATTTAATCAAAATATATTATAATTTTTTTTATGTTCGCTATTAAGCTTAACAATATAATTGAAAATGAATTTCAATTAAAATGCTGAAGTGGCTGAGAAAATTATGTTGGTACTAAATTGTAAAAATAGTAATAAAAAAAATTATAGCCGGATTTTTTTTAAATCTTGTTTTAAAAACTATTTTTCACACCCTCAAGAATAATAGGGAAAATATATATTAAATAGAAGAAAAATACTAAAAATTTTAAGTAATTCTGAACAATACTTAAGAAAAATAATTTCAAAGGTCAAACTATGCCGGGTAATTAAAAAAAAAAAGTTTAAAAAACTAAAGAGAAATTAAAAAATAGAAATAAAATTTAAATAAAAAGAAAAAAAATTAAAAAGAAATTAAAAAAATTTAATAATTAAAAAAAATAATAAAAATAACAAAAAAAAAAACATAAAACATTTAGAAATGTTCAACATTTAAAATTTTAAAGATATCAATGAAAAGAAAGAGAAAGAAAATTATGCAATTGAAAGTGATCATATGGAGCTCGATTTTTTCTGGCAATGAACTTTTGGGCTTAGAGTCATGGTCTAGTAATAGGAATATATTTTGTGTTATTTTTTTTAATTAATTTTAAGAATACTTCAAAAATAAAAAAATTTAAATTAAACAGACTTTTAGGATTTTTGTTAGTTTCCAAATATAAAAAATAATACCACAAATAAATGTGTGTAAGAAAAAAAATTAAATTAATTAAAAATTAAAATTTTTTGGGTGCTTAAAATAATAAATTAAAAATGTTTTTGAAACTCATATGCAAGTGTCAAAAAAATTCTAAAAAAATCCTAAAAAAATCCAAAAAAACAGAAAAAAATTAAACAATTATTTTCATTAATAAGTCTCGGTTATAATTTAATGTTTCAATTGAAAGCAATTAATTCAGTGACATCAGCGGCAGCACAGAGAGGTGCATATATGCATACACACATAGTGTAGTTAATAAAGTGAATTTGCCTATGTGCTCGATGCAAATTTAATATATATATATAATGATTAATGTACAAACATATATATGTTATATTTTACTACAAAATGAGAACTGTTATAGTGCGTTAATTTAAACGTTTTTAAAAAAAATAAAGTAAAATAAAATAACATAAAATAAAATAAAATAAAATAAATTAAAATAAAATAAAATAAAATAAAATAAAATAATATAAAATAAAATAAAATAAAATTAAAAATAAAATAAAATAAAATAGAAAAATTAAATAAAATGATATGTAATAAAATTAAATAAAACTTAAATTAAAAAAATTTAAAAGAAGTAAGATTTCAAAGATTAAAAATATTAAATTTAAAAAAGAGAACATGAAATAAATGAAATGGAATAAAATTAAATTAAAGAATAAAAACAAATAAATAAATTATAACAAAAAAAAATGAAAAAAACATAAAAAAAGAAAAATAGTGAACTAAAATAGATAAAGTAAAAAAATAAAAAGTGATATAAAATAAATTAAAAAATAAATACTTATAACAATATACAATTTTATGTGTACAATTAGTGTGATATAGTTATTATCAGATAGTAGAAAAAAAAACAAAGAGAATTTATACGCCAAATTTTTCTATATCATGTTTTGGTAGTGTTTTTTCCTTGTTTGTGGTGTTGTTTAGTGTTACCATATTTTTTTCATAATTTTCTTAATATTTATTACACATAAACAAATTTTTTTTTAATTTTTCAATTAACTGCTTGGAGATTTGGATTTTTTAGCTGATTGCAATTTTAAAAAGTATTAAAAATAAATATGTTAAAGAAATATTAAATATTAAAGAAAGTATTATTTATTTTTAATCTCGTCTTTTTACGCTTTTTTGCGTACTTTTTTTTTTTTAGAAAAAAAATATTAAATAAAAGTAATAATAATATTTATTAGTAATAATTTAATAATTTTTTTTTAAGTATTTGGTATATACATATTGGGCTTTTTTACTTAGAAGTGAAGCAATTTTTTTCTAATTAGATTTGACCAATTTTGAATAGTTTGGTAATTTATGCATTGAAATTGCAATTAAGACAATTTTTTTTGGAAATTTTAATTTTATTGATAAATTATTTGATAAATTAATTATGTAATTTTTTTCTATAAAGTCTTTGAATGTTCCATTCTTTTTAATAATAATATAATATTTTAGCAATTTTTTATTTAATTTTTATTTTTAACATATTTTTTTTTTAATTAAATAAAGGTATTTAGTTTTACAACGAAAATTACATATCTACCTACATAATTTGGCCTTATTTTTAATTTAATTTTTTTTCTATATATTTATTTTTTTCATCCTTTTATATCCTTCCATCTCTTCATTATGCACCACGATCATTCTGTGCGTATGTGTATGTGTTTGTGTTTCATTTTACTTTGTTTGTATTACAGCTCTATAACAAATATCCCTTCTGCGCCGGTGTGCTCATTATCGCCACCCTCATCTGCACGTAATTCCATCAATTTGTTACACAACAACAATGGCAACAATCATCACATCATCATTCCACATACGCCCTGTCCGCCTGACATACTCAGCGATGAATAGTAAGTGTTGTGTTTGTATTGGTATTTGGTGAACTGAGTGTAAATGCATTTAAATCAAATAAATCTACATACTTAATATATGTATTAAGTGATAAATGTCAAAAATTAATTAAATTGAGTGTAATCATTGCATTTTTTTTATTGTTGTTTTCATTTTGTGGGCATCACTGAATAAAGAGGATTTTTAAGAAAAATTAATGAACAAAAATTAAAACAAAAATTGATTTTCAAATTATGGCTACATACATATACATATTGTGTATGTGCATATTAAATTAAATATGTTAATTAAGTAAATTAAAATCAATTTACTGTAAATAAAAATTAAAATTATTTCTAAAAGTAAATTAAAGCAAGTTAACTTTTACTGATTCAGAATTTTTTTTTTACCCAACAATCTTCAACTCTCACCCACCATTCCATTTAGTCACGAGGATGAAGACACACTTTCGTTGGAAAATCTCTTTCCCTGCGATCAGAGTGAAATTTATGCTTCGAAGAAGATCAGTTTCATTATTGATGAAGTGATACAAACCGAAGCGAATTATGTGAATAATCTGCGTAAGGGTTTAAAGAATTATGGGGAGCTGGGTGCGCGCACAGATGCGCCCGAAGTGTTTAAGGGCGCTGAGAATCGTCTATGCTTACTCGGCAATATCGAACAGATTTTGGAGTTGCACGAAAAACACATTCTGCCGCTGATGTTGCGCAATCAACGGGATTTGAAGTCATTGTTCGATGAGTTCGCTGTATTTTTTGATGTGAGTATTGATTTATTAATTTTTTTAATGTTTATATTTTTTTTTTAATATTTATTTATATATGTTCAAAAAAAACTTTCCTGTTAAAAAAAAAAATAATAAAATAATTTTCAAGAATATCAGAATAATTTTCAAGATCTTTGAAATCCTATAAAAATCAAAATATTTTTTTGTGCTAAAATTTTTTTTTGGAAAATTAAACAATTTTTTTTTTGTTATTATTTTGAAACAAAAAAAAAATAAAAAAGTTTTAGGTTTTCCAAAACATTTCTACAAATATCATAATAAATATGACTTGTTTCGGTATGTTTATAGATCATACTCTATTTTTTATATTCTTACTCTTAATTTTTTATTCCTAAAAATTTGAGTTATTACAAAACTCAATGAAAAATTTTGATTTAAAAAATGTTGCCATTTTATTTTATTTTTTTCTAAAATTCAAGTATTATATTTAAATATGTTTAGAATTTATTATTTTTCATAATTTGAAATATTACATTTACATTTTTTGAGTTTCTAAAATATTTACGGAAATATTCTCCACTCTCGCCACACAGTGCTAATGAATATTTTCTATTCAAGCATAAAATTTTGAATGAAACATTAATAAAATATTAAAAAGACACCGCCAAAGTGTTTAGTATTCAATGGGTGGAACGAATTGGTGTGCAAACACACAAACAAAAAAAAAAAATAAAATAAAAAATAAAAAAATAAAAAATAAATAAAAAAATGAAAATAAACTAAAGTCCAACAGGTGTTAATCCGACATGTAAACAGATCGCTGCGGCTTGACAGAATTATACTGAATATTTATGTACGCGAATGAAATGTAAATAAGTTGAAATGATGGAGTATTCAAACTTGTTGTACTTAGAAAACGTTTTTTAATTTTTTTTTTCGAATTTTTGAGTTTTATGGCGGATTTATGGATCGTTGTGAGTTAACATTTCTCTACCGGCCGCGAAAAATTATGCTGAAGGAAAAAGCATTATTTGAGTAAATATTTAAAGACAAATTAAGTAGAATTTTAGTTAAATCATTTTCCACATTTCTTGCCCTTTCAATACATGAGACGCCTCAGCTTTGATTATGGGTATGTATATGTAAGCAAGCACTTAAGAGTTCGTACTTAAAATTATCCAGCTAATATTTTGCAGCATTTATCACAGTGATTTAAATATTTGCTGCATAATTCCATCAAAAAACTACACCCATTTTTAGTTTGCCTAATTTTGCGCAAATAATCTCTGGCAATCAATCATAAACAATTTATGCAAAAACAAAATATCTCTCAGCCATAAAAAACTTATTTAAATGAATTGTTTACCAAAACACATTCACATATACATGTGTATGTATTTAAAATAAATAATATATTTTTTATGCCGTTCTTTGCTAACAAAAGCAAATCCTAAACAAATTTAATGCCGACCAAAGTCAGCGAGCGACATGAAAGCCGAAAAAAGCCTTGAACTGATCACAGCAAATCCAAATGGATAAACGCTGACAAGATACTCAAAGTAGTGGGAAAAATAGATATAGAAGTAAAGAAAATGAAAAGAAGGAAAATTAGTTAATAGAAATTAAATTGAAGTATTTATGAAATTTTAATAATAAATTATATTGAAAAGACATGAAAAAAAAACAATATAATGGGAATATTAATTGTAAATTATAATATAAATACTTTAAATTATTAAAAAAAAAAATTAAGAAATTAATATAAATAAGAAATTTATATAAGCTTTACTGTTATTTATGAAGGACTACTGATTTGAAGAATTTAATTAAATTAAAAACATAAATTTATATGTAAAGATTTTTAATTTATTTTTTTTTTACCAAAAAAATATAAACTACAATATAACTATATAAACTATAAGTACATTTTTAAATATATATACAAAATACCGAAAATAAAAATAAACTTTTTTTTTCAACTAAAAATGATTTTTGGAAATCGATTGAAATTAAAAAATTGTATTGAAATATTTATAAGACCGCAAGTTAAATAACAAATATAGGAAAATATTTGTTCAAATAAAAATAAATAAAATATAATGGAATTTAAAAAAAAATATTTTGTATAAGGCTAACCTAAAATGGTCGGTAGAGCACTTTAATTGCGATTAAAAAATATTGAATTGAAAAAAAAAAATACAACAATTAATAAATATGCAAGTATATTGAAATATTTTTAGCAAAATTTTAAAATTACTAAATATACTATGAGCTAAAACCTACTTCTGCTTACAGCAAGACAATTGCCAGACAAGTTTGAAAATCGTTTCCTCTCTCTCTTTGACAATTTTGAGGTTCACGCAGTAACTCCTAAAGCAAGCTTCCCATTTTGCTTCTCATAATTTTCGTAGAGCAATGCATCGTCCAGTTCCCAATTACCTTTATAATAGGTTTCTACTCAGACAGTTTAAGCCAAATAGCATTTTCCGGCGACATTTCAGTGTCAAGTTTGCTTCGACTTGCGGCAAGACCAATTATGACTCCTTATGTAGGAGCTCTGTAAATAATATTTTTAAGAGAATTTTTGTTGTGGCGAGAGTTTTAGCATGCGTTAATTGTTGACAAAATGCTGCTCGGACGTACTCTGCCTAGCAAATACATCTACTCTGTGTAGTTCACTTCTATATCTCTGTGATCAGTTATCCCAGCGTGAGATAATCTGTGCTGTTCCGTCATCTCCTGAAGAGATATGTAGTACTTTAGCATGATTTTAGAGCTAATATAAAAAAATCTAAGGATTTTATTAGCTCAATCAATAGTAGAATTCGAATTAAATACTTTTTTAATTAAAAAGCTATAAGGACATTCTTTGAATAATAAAAATCGAACAAAAAAAATAAGAAAAATGAAATAATTAGTTTACATATATGAAACACAATTCCGAAAGTTTTGAATGAATATTATTAAAATAAAAAGAGAGAAACATAAAATGAAAATATAATAAAATAACAAAAAATATTTCGGTAGCGTATATATTTTTATTGACGTCTGCTGCATAATTTATGAGCTCACTTTTTCACCAGATACGCCGTTTCTCCTTATATTTACGTGTACTGAAATCCTAATGAAACTTTTCAAGCTTTCACTCATTTAGAGTGGAGAGCAAACAAGTTTGGGCATGAGAGATTCATACAAAATTTTGTAAAAAAAATATAAAAAATTCGTTACATAATTATTTTTGCATTTATTTTAATATATTTGAAATAATTTCAAGCATGTTGAAAACAAAGAAATGAATTGTACAACTATATTAACGCAACTAGTTTCAAAAGTTGAGGGTCAGTACTTTATGGAATTTATTTACTTTTGAACTTTGGCTTTAATCCAATAAGTCGACTTTTTTTCTGTAATAATATTAATTAACTTGGTCAAATTTACAGTTTTTATTTACCTTTTTTTGGTGTAGCTTAGTAGCATACACAATCTTCGTGTTATGCCGAATAAAACTCAATCTGATAAGTTATCGCCGCCTGGCAAGATAAGACGATAATTTATAAAATTCTCGAAACAAAAAATGCAGTTTTTTTGCCAAGTTCTTTAAACATTACGTCATCTCTACATATTGACATTTTTTTATTATCTACATAAAGATATTAATAAAATTTCATGTGTAGAAATAGGGGAAATTCCCTTAAGATATACCAGATTGTATTTCCTTTCTCCAAATTTAAGAAAAAAAAAATCTAATTTTACATTTTTATATTCAAACATTTTCTTACATTTTTCTATCAAAAACCCGTAAAATCCTATAAAATAGACTTTGAGGTAAACAAAACAAATATTTAATAAAAAAGAAGAATAAGTATTAAATATTTTTAAAACAAAATAAAAAGAAAAATAGTACAATATGGCAATCAAAAACAACTGGAAGATACAAAACGTTGAACTTGCAAGTGATAAATGGAAATGATTTGCATTTATGCAAGATAAAATTCTGCTTCTTTTGTAAATATAAAAAACAAATTGGTATAATAAAAACATACAAACTAACATAATTACCATGATTTTTTTCGTATTCAAATATTATTTATTTGATGCTTTCTGTACCAAATGATTCATAGATAAATTACTTGATAAAAAAATTATTAATTATAATGAAATAAAATTAATAAAAAAAAAAATAAAAAAAATGAAAAAAAATAAAATAAAATAAAATAATGAAAATAATTGTAAAATGGAATAAAATAAAATAAAATAAAATAAAATAAAATAAAATAAAATAAAATAAAATAAAATAAAATAAAATAAAATAAAATAAAATAAAATATAATAAAATAAAATGGAATAAAACAAAATTAAAAAAGAATGTAAAATAAAATACAATAAAAAAATCATATCAAAGAGAACAGAATGAAATTAAATAAAATAATTGTATTCTAAATTTTAATATTATTTTCTTTTTTTTTATTTCGTTTTTCCTTATTATCAGTATAACTTTTAATTTTCAACGTCTTTTGAAATAATTAAAGAAAAGAAGATGTTTTCTTGACATTATATATATACACAGAAAATGTGTATTTTGTTTTTAAATGGCGTAAGCTATTTAAAAAACCTCTCTCCACTTTAAATTTTTCATTTCTTTGCTCTCCTCTTTCCACCCAGCATCATTTCAATAGTCGTTTCTAAAACAAATAAAATGACAACACGCCTTGCAACTTGCTTTATTTTGTGAAAATAGTTTTCTTAATGATTTTGTCAGCTAACCATATTTGTACATTTACATAAATATTCATTTGGTACTGTAGAATGTGTTATATACAGACGTAGTTTTCCGTTATTTGGCATATTGCGCCCATTAGCTGGCGCTTTGGCATTTTTGACAGTTTTAATTATACTCATGACGTATCTGGTGAAGCATTTTCTAGCTTTAGCACGTAATTCAAAGACTTTTCATCAGCTTGTTGAAAGCTGCTAGACAATGAGTGTATTTGTTTATGTGAGAACAATAACATTTTGAGTTCCAAAAAAATTGT